TCCCAGTTTATCCCAGTTCATCCCAGTTTGTGCCGGCTCGCCATGCTGGAGCATCCCGGTGCCTGTGCGGGAGGAGCGGGGAGGCTGGAGGGGGTTCCTGGGGACATAAGCAGATTACAGCGCTGGGGGAAGTGCTGGCCGGGCTTCAGCAGGTGACGCTCTTCCCTCTCTGATCCTCGGCCTCCCGGGGGCTCTGGGAACAAAAAATCCCATAAAGTTCCCCATAAAAATCCATAAAAATCCCAATCAGTTCCCCTGGAATCATTCGATAAGTGCAACCCAAGCTCTGCCTCTTCAGCATCCCCCTTCATCCCAGTCCCAAAATCAAATATTCTGATTGCTTCCCTTATTTAATTATACAGCATTCTGGATCTCTGCAGCTGTCACTCCGTTCCCCCTAGATTATTTTGCTTATTTGGTTGTGCTTCAATATCCAGCACAGGAGGGTGAGTTAGGGATGTTATTTCAAGTCCTGCTTTGCCCAAATCTGTGTGTTTGTCCCTGCTGGATGGATGGGAGGAGCACAGATTTAAGGACAGAAAGAATGCAGGGCTCTCTGAACCTGCTCGGGGTATTTAATGGGGGCTGGACATCCTTCATGCAAAATGAGCTTATAGGGTTAATGTTTGTATAAAGAAAAAACATCCAGTGCGAGGCCTGCAAACAAATCCTCTGGTCCTTGGTGCAGGAGCAGCACTGCTGGGGTTAACCCAGATTTCCTCCCAGAGCCATGCTCAGAGAGACACATGATTTCTGTCTGTACCAGGGAGGGACAGAAAGCTGTCAGCAGCAGCAGCCTGCTCTGACCCTTAGGAACTGGACCTTTCCCAGTTTTCAGTTTTCCCTGTCTGAAAACCTTTCCCGTTTTTCAGACCCCACGTCCATCCCGTGCTGTGTGACGACACCAAATCGCAGTGTGTGACATCAGGGAACCTCTGAGCCTGGCCTGGCTCAGGCCAGCGTGCTGCTCCCTCACGCCATGCCCTGCATTCTTGCAGCACCCACCTCACCCTGCCCAAAATGATCTCATCCCCAGGTGGCTGGTGCTCCTGGGGACAGCCAGAGGGGCTGGGTGACACCGGTGTGGCAGTGAAGGACAGGCTGTCCCTCACACTGCTCCAGCACAGCAGTGATGCTGCAGCCCCCGAGGGTGCTGGCAGGACAGATGACACCAGCGATTTGCCTCATCACAGCCTGGTGACTTGGTTTAATTGGTCATTTTCGTGTTTTAATGCTCTCTCCGTCTTTATATTGTGACCTGGTGTTGTGAGAGCTTTTGCCTCCAGGCTGACATCAGTGTTATCTCACAGCTCCTCAGGGACTCTAATCAGCCAGGCCTCCAGCTTTAAATCTCTAAATCTCAGAAAGCCAAAAACCACAGCAGCCTTTCCCTCCCCTTCCATCTCAGCCTCTGCTGCCTGCCCTGCTCTTCCTTCTTAGGAGTTTTGGGGAGCTCCAGCAGAGATGGAAACTAATTTAGATCTTTGATGAAAAATGGAAATCTAATGCCAGAAGAGCATTGCAGGGACAAAAACAAGCTGGTAGCTGAACTTGATGTCCCATAAATGGGAGCAGAGTAAAAGTCTGCTCATCTGATTTTCCTTCTTTTGTGGTTCCTTCTGTATTGCTTGTGCTGCTGTGTTGGTTGGAATAGTTCTGAGCTGCAGAACCTGTGATCTGGAACCTACAGAGAAAAGAAGGGCCAAAGGCTCCACTAAAAATAAATCTGTAATTCATTTTTCTGCTAGTGCCTGTGGGTGAGGAAAAAAAAAAAAACCACAAAAAACTCTCAATGTTCCAACACCCTACTTATCTGAGGGAAGGATCTATTATGTAGTTGTGGGGGTGGGATGGGAACTAGGTAGGGTTGCAGAACAGCAGAGCTAAAATTAGAAGTTGTTTGATGTCAGGGAGCAGTGAAGATTGACTTCAGGCAGTTTCACTTCTGCATTCTGGAGGCTGCAGGGACCCTTTGTGCCTCCACCAGGCTGGCCCTGCCCTTCCCTGGCTCTGGAAATCGATGTCTCAGGCTGTGGAAGAGGGGAAGGAGGGGTTCCTGAGCTGTCCCACCCCGCTCTGCTCTTTGCCGCTTCTTTGAGATGTAAAATAACAGGTTGGTGAGACAGGGACAGGAGGGATGGCTCTGTCCTCACTTCCAGGCATCGCTGTGACACACAGGGGTGACAAACGTGGGTGTTTGGGATTCGTGGCTCCGTGATTACCCAGGAAATGATGAAGCTGCTTAAATCACTTCCAACTGCATGGTGAAGCTGCAAAGCCTTAAAGAACGTCTGCGTGCAGCGACGATGAACTTCATCCTGTGGTACTGCAAATGATCCCGAATGAAATTGGATTTCCAAATCAATTCTTCCTCAATTTTTGGAGAAGATTCACAAAATAGTTCTGTTAAAGTTACGTAATTGTGCTGCTGTGCCCATTGTGCTGTTCGACCTTCACATTACAGGTTCAAATGTTGCATTTTCCATCTTTCCTGTCTTCATTGATTCTTCTGCACCTACATCTTCTTTTATTCAGGGGGAAGAAATAGGTGCTGATAATCCCCGGCTAAAAACCACCAGGGCTGACCCACATACATATAAAATATGGTATTTGGGAAAGGAGAGGCCTTAGCTCCTTATGAATTCTGCAAATGGAGCTGAGGAATCACAATGTTCCTGTTGGCTGGTGCTGCGGCAGGAAGAGCAAACCTCATTAACGGGTCTCTCATCTTCCCCTGCATCCAGAACATTCTGACCTGGCCATACGTCCTGAATGTTCTGGCTGTCCATAAAGTAAGGTTTTTATCCTTTTCCAGCAAGAAGATGTCGTGCCAGGTGCCTGGAGGAACAGCTTGGAGCAGCCTTGGCAGGTTTATTCTGTAGATGGCTCTGTGAAGTCACTGAGGGGTAATTAGCAGGTTTTGTGCTCATTTCTCTGGCCTTGGTGTTATTTTTTCTGTCCTTTTCCACAGTGGGAAGCCCTAGGAAGCAGTGAGTAGCCTAATCCGAGTGCAATAAAGCCAAGGAAAAGCTTTGCACACAATTCCCTTGGC